GACAATCCAATGGTTTCTGAGCCACTTCCTCCAATGTTCTTGTATTTTCCTGCAGTGCTTTACAAATATATTTCACTGATATTCTCTCCGGGTATGTCTACACTACCACCCTAGTTCGAACTAGGGTGGCTAATGTAGTCAACTGAAATTGCAAATGAAGCCCGGGATTTAAACATCCCGGGCTTCATTTGCAATTTCAGTTGACTACATTAGCCACCCTAGTTCGAACTAGGGTGGCTAATGTAGTCAACTGAAATTGCAAATGAAGCCCGGGATTTAAACATCCCGGGCTTCATTTGCAATTTCAGTTGACTACATTAGCCACCCTAGTTCGAACTAGGGTGGCTAATGTAGTCAACTGAAATTGCAAATGAAGCCCGGGATTTAAACATCCCGGGCTTCATTTGCAATTTCAGTTGACTACATTAGCCACCCTAGTTCGAACTAGGGTGGCTAATGTAGTCAACTGAAATTGCAAATGAAGCCCGGGATTTAAACATCCCGGGCTTCATTTGCAATTTCAGTTGACTACATTAGCCACCCTAGTTCGAACTAGGGTGGTAGTGTAGACATACCCTCCTTCTATGGTTCCTTGTTTCATACAGTGCATTGACCCTATTTCTTTCTTATTGGCTTTTTCCATTAATTGCCTTGCTTTTTATGTCACGTATTTTTTTAGTTGTGGTGGACATATAACACAAAATCAGTACTACTGCATATGGGGACACTGCTGGCTGTTCCTCTTCATCAGTGAGCAAGAGGAAAGTGCACAGATTGTTGTATTCCCCACTCTGGCCGGGGAGTTCAGGGAGGCAAATGAGCTGTACACTTTGCTCTCAGTCTCTGTTTTTGAAAAATACAATAATTTAAATAAAGCATGTGCATTTTCCTTTTATTTAAAAAAAAACACTTCCTGAGTTAAGGATCTGAGCAATGCTGGGCAGATGTGCTAGTACTTTATACTCTGAAATGTAAGTACAATATTAATAGTCTCATTGATTTATTTTATAATTATATGATAAAAATGAGAAATGAAGCAATTTGTCAGCAAGGTGAGACATTTGTAATTTTCTGTCTGATTTCATATGCAAATAGTTTTTAAGTGAGGTGAAACTTAGGGGTAGCACCACAAATTAGAGTCCTAAAAAGGGTACAGTTGTCTGTAAAGGTTGAGAACACTTGTATAGTAAACTAAAGGGCTGTGTCTACATTGGCATCCCTTTCTTGAAAAGGGATGCTAATGAGACACATCGCAATTGCAAATCCGCGGGGGATATTTAAATCCTCGGGGATATTCAAGTAGGAATAAGAGATCCTCCGGAAAAGGGCTTATTTTCCAGAGAATGATGTCTAGCCTGGCGCTTTTCTCCGGCTTATCCACAAGCCGGAAAAAAGCGGCAGCCATGTAAATGCAAATGCCGCGGGGGATATTTAAATCCCCCGCGGATTTGCAATTCCGACTGGTCTAATCTGCATCCCTTTTCTGGAAAAGGGGTGGAGTGTAGACACAGCCAAGATGTCATAAAGGCAAGTAAATGCAATGTAAATGAAAGTACATAAGAATGAAAAATATGACTTAACTTGCCATATTGTTTACAGGCATCTAAAACTGTGGATGTCTTGATTGTGGAATTATGAGCTAGGACTAAAGGAACTAACTGGGCTCCATGTGTCAATGAAAGCTTTAACTGATATCCCCTAGATTAAATAGTTTCAATGGGATAATCTATGTAATTTACTCTCTTAAGAGGCTAACATGGTAACTTATAGCATGCAATTTTCATACATGTTTGCAAGTTGAGGTAGAGACTGGAGGAGAGGGAGCTTACAACTTACCTCAACCTGCTAACACATGTTAAAAATATAACTGCCTTGTCATCGGCAGAATTTTACTTTGTGTTAGTTGCAAATTTACAGTGTGTTAGCTAACACAAGATAAGAACACACCTTTTTTTCCTAGCAAAGACTCAGGCAATTTTCTCTACATTTGGAAAAGTTTCCTTTCTTTGTCGAAGTACATCCAGATCCATCTGCATCCTGCCTAAATGGCCACTTTCTCAAGATGCCTGCAATTTTATGAAATCACATGCCAGATCCTGCCATTTTACCTGACAAAGCCTTGAAATCCAGCTCTTTCATTTAAATTCTGGGATTGGTACAGAGTAAGTGAAGGCAGAATAGGATTTTAAGGGTATGTCTACACTATAGAGATGATTAAAGCTGCCGCTGTAGATCTTCCAGGGTTTGAATTAGCAGGCCTTGTTAAGACAACTAATTCGAACTGAGAGGGGCACTTGGGTTGATGCCGGTAGTCCTGCTTCCACGAGGAGTAAGGGAAGTCGAAGGGAGAGTGTTTCCCCTTTGATTTCCTGCAGTGTGGACAGCGCCAAAAGTCAGATTAAGGTACTTCAACTTCAGCTACACAATTAATGTAGCTGAAGTTGTGTATCTTAATTTGACCTTATCCTGTGGTGTAGACATATCCTAAAGGTATTTTGTGTCATTGTTTCAATTATAGAACTATGTGGGTAAAAGACTTGGATTTAACAGCAACAGAAAAAAGAGGATATTGTATACATGCCTTCAATCAACTTTGTATTAGATCCTTAAAAGGAAAATTATGTGAAAGACGGGAAGAAAACAACAAATGAAGCAAGATCCCTATTTCAATATAATTTGGAGGAAAAAAACTGATTTAGGTTGGTCATGTTGCCAGGATAGATGACTCAAGACTTCCAAACAAGAAATGGAAACCAGAAGGATGCCTAAAGCCTGAAAGAAGAACAAATTGAGACGATATGATTGACTGTAATGTTTCAAAATCAACTATTCCAAAGATGAGTTTGGGCTGTTGCCCAGAATACAATTGAATGGTGGTGTTCATTTAGATCCTTAATGCTGAAACAAAATAAAACACTGTAGTCGTGTTTCTGTTAGACATTTACTTGTTAATTCTTTCCAATTTTCCCAGAGTTGGGATCTGATGTCATGTTCTGTCTCTTCTGCTACATGTTGCAATGATTGTTGCTGCTGCTCTGTAATTTTTCTGAATACCAGTTTTCTGATGAAGGCCTGCATCTAATGCTTTGTCTATACCACAGAGTTTTGTCGACAAAAGTTATGCCACTTTAATTAAACCACTATTGCATGTTATATACACTATTCTTTCTGTGTTGATGCAAGAGCTACAGTGCACTGTGGGTAGCAGTCCCCCATCCAATTGGCCACAGGGTGCTTTGGTAAGGGTTTGCAATGCCTCATGGGACATGTATAGCATCACATTTTGCAGGTTTTTCAATCCTATCATTCCATGTGCATCCTACTAAATTGCCAACCACTTTTCAAATGAAATGTGTGAGGAAGGGGAGGGGAAGATGAACATGTGACAGTGTCAGTGAGATTTACTCTTATGGAAAAAACAAGGGGCAAAGCACTGAATCTGGCTGTGGAACCTTTGAGAGGAATCACAAGTCTAGGGCAGATCTGGGTGCTCTGCAGCTTCCCCTGGATCTCTGGCACTGCAGCTCCAATGGAATGTCCTCAGAGTTTTGTTTTCCTGTGAAAGTTCTGACTGTTGCTAAGGAGACAAATGTGCTTCCCTCCAGCTCTGCTTCCTGCCATGTTTTCTACACTCACATTCACACAATTATCCCTAGGCCTACAAAAAGCAGGGGACTGTGATGGGGTTTATCTATAAAAAGGCCCGACTGTATATATGTCATTATATGATAGCAGTTCATGGAAGAAGCACCATCTACTGGCATGTCAGAATGTGTAAGACCAATAAAGTAGTTGTTGTCCATTGCAAATGGCTACCTGATTACTCAGCTCTTAACAATAAGGGTCTGTAACAGAGATGACGCTCCTCCCTTCTGAATGGTGAAGGCAGCTCTGGGAGTGGATCTATGGAGCAATAGCTCTCCTTTAGCTCTGCATCTTCCTACTACATTGGAAAAGCATCTATTCTGAGTGGGTGAATAAAGGTTAAATATAACCGTATTTAAAATACTTTAGTATATACTGAAAACTTATGTATTAAACCCAGTAATGACCGTAGTGATAATTTTGTTGTAATTGAGTCCACTGGGTTTACAAATGGGGTTTGAACCTGTGACCTTCTCCATGAAGTACACAGTTTGGCAAGGCGCATAAGCATGTGCTTAATTTTAAGCCTGTGAGCAATTCAGTGGAAAAAAAATAGGACTAATGACATGCTCGAAAGTATGCACATGAGCCTGCTAATTTGGCATAAAATCCTGCTAATTTGGCATAAAAAGCAGACACCTCTGTCACTTAAACGGAGTATGACTCATTAACCTCTTATGGGGACAAGCCACCATGAGTCACAATAAGAGAGTTACATTAAATCACCCAAATCAGTTTTCAAGATGAAAAATTTTCAGTCAATTCAATGTGACTAAATAACTTGGCTATTTTTAAAGTAGATACAAATTTTACATTTAAAATTAAGTTGTCAAAATGTCCTTAATACATTTCAACGAATATTTAGAACTAAAACTTAAGAAGCCTTAATCCAGCCTCTAAACAGGTGCCTGCAATTTTATGTGTACAACTTTCTGAATACATTTTTTTCCTAATACTCACATTTTGAGAGCTCACTTTTCTAGTTTCACCATTACTGTGTGAAGAAGCAGTAACTAAGAAGTTCAGAAAGAATGATTAAACTTATGTGATTGTTTTTCATTATCAACACGTTTTTCTTTTCTTTTAATAGGTTCTAATCTGTGCAGTCTGCACAGATCATATTATTGTTTACTCACTGCTGCTTTTCATTCCACCAGTGTACAGTGGAGTACTTTATTTACATAATAAGAAAAAAAGAAAAAAACAGAGATGCACTATTGACAGTGAGAGCTGTTCTGAATAATTGGGAATGCTCTAAGATTACCTGCTTTATTCTGAAATGAAAATAGAATTGCCTGTTGGCTAGCCTCTTTCATACACGTGTACAAAAAATCCTTTGTATGTTTCTTCAACAGATTGCTTGGTTTCTACAAAGGCATACTGCCTCCTATCATGGCTGAAACACCCAAAAGGGCAGTAAAGGTAAAGCACTGTAACTAACATCATAACAGTAAAACATCCAATTTGTCCTTCATCAAAGAAATATGCTGAGTGATATTAGAATCTTCTGCTAATTAAGCTCTGGTCTTTACTTAGAAAAAAACTACTAATGATAACATAATGGAAACTTGCCTGATTAAGAATTGAAGCATAAAGCTTTTAATTATTACGTGTATAGTTAAGCAAGATGCATAACTTTACTGAAGAAAAAATTATGACTGCAACATAATATTTTACCCTAATATGTTTTCTTTTTGTAGAAGTATTATTTCATTATGAATGCTCAGCAACGTGCAAATGAACTAGTCCTAGGAAAATGTTTGTGTATAAATGCAAACTTAAAGGAAATGAACACTTATTAAGTGTTATGCCAGTGCAGTTCAACAG